ATGCGAATCTGCACATTCACCAGACATCATCGCCTAGCAAAACTCGCGGCTGCTCTTATAGCCGGTTACCTCTTCTGTACATATGTCCTCCAAAATGGCACAGAATTTGTCCAATCTGAATGCGAGGTTGTTGAGCCAAACACTATATTTTCGGTATCGTCATTAAATCATTCAAAATCCTTCCGCTTTTGGCGCATGCCTGGTTCCGAAAAAACGTTGCTAGATGATGACGCATACAGCACTCCCGACAACATAGCTGAATCGCTGAAACGCATAGCCAACATGCATAAGATGTCCAGTGTTAACTGTCACGCACTATTCAACGACGTACAAAGGGATATAGAACACGCAAAGAGGACAAATGAAAAGATACGCACTCCATTAGATGATTGCTCATATTTGCCTTTAACTGTTGATTGCAGGACTTTTGTGGCTTCCCGTGGATATATTCTCTCGCCTTTAACCGAGGAGGAAGAAGAATTTCCTCTTTCGTTCTCAGTACTGGCATATAAGGACGTTGAGATGGTGGAAAGACTTCTGAAGGCCATATATAGCCCCCAAAATTATTATTGTATTCACATAGACGAAAAGTCGCCGCATTCCTTCTACCAGTCCGTGGCTTCCATTGCTAAATGTTTTCCTAATGTGTTCATCGCTAGTCGAAGGATAGATGTTCGGTGGGGCTGGTTTAGTGTGTTGGAGCCCGAGCTTCAGTGTATGAAAGAGCTGTGGAGATACCCCAAGTGGAAATATTTCTTCACCCTGACAGGCCAAGAGTTTCCATTGAAGACCAACTTTGAACTGGTGAAGATTCTGACTGTTTATGACGGAGCTAACGACATCGAAGGAACGATTAGGAAGTGAGTGGAAGACGAAAAGTATAGATTGATTTATTTTATTGCATGCACTTTTGTTTTATTCAGTGGTAGGGCCTGTATTATCAAGGAAGCAATTTGAAGATGGGATTGAAAAGATTGTGTTATCACATAAACTATTGTTAAATTATGTACGCATCGCTCAAATCTAAGGCTTGAACTATTTGTTGAGTCTGTAAATAGACCTAAAGTATTCGAAGGATTAGTTAATAGATGATCTGAAGAGTGGATCTTTGCTCCCCTCTTACCCCCTCCCCCCTTTTTTTTTAAAATTTCCTCGGCACCCACCCTACTCCCGTTTCCCACTAGAGTACTACTGTTTTATTTATTGATATTGCTAGTGATTTGAAAAGAATAATTAACATATGGCTAGTGGCGTAAACATAACGCAAATCTCCCCACGACCCGACTATATACACACTAGGTCACTTCTAATTGTAGTTCCTGGACCTGTCACCTTCGCACAGAGTTACGGGTGTGTTCGGGAATGTCGTTGAATCCCGTCTTGTATATTTCAGCACGTCAGCGCTTTTAACACTCCAAACACATGGAGCACTAGCCCTAACACAAACTCCCTAAAGGGTGCTGCAACCTAAGTCACGTGCATTCTCTTTCTCGGAATGAAAACGTAAATGGAAGACAACATAGAAAGCAAACAACAGAGCTGGACACACCCGTAACCTTCAGTAAATACCAACAGTCCAATAAACTTGTGAATTAAAAGTAGGTAAACTCTGGGGAAAACTATTGTTTCGTTCAACTATGTCGCTGATGATATAAAGGAAGCAATTAATATATAACTAGAGGAATGGCATACTATATGTAATATAGCATACTATATGTAATGGGTGACTTCAACGGGAGGGTAGGAAATAACAGAAGAGAATATGAACAGTTTCAAGGTCCACATGCAGCTAAGAACAGTGATAGAAATGGAAATGGTCAAAGAATATTGGATCTATGCAGCCAGCACAATCTTTTTATTACGAACACATTCTTTGACCATAGAGATTCACAACTTTACACTTGGTACAAATGGAATGATGTCTCCATCAAGAGCCAGATTGACTTGTATACTTACCAGATTTCAAGGAAGAAGGAGAATTCTTGATTCAAGAGCAATCCCTAATGGTCTATGTGACAATGACCATAAAATAGTTGTGTTAACAGCAAAACATCTTACATTAAAAAAACACAGAAAGCAATTAACCAAACACAAGGATCTCATCAAGATAGCAAATCTGAAACAGGAAGGAGTAAAAGAACAGTTACAACAGAAAGTAGAGACAGCATTCAAACAACTTACACATGTAGTATGCAATACTGCAGAAGAATGGAGTAAATAAAAAAACACTATACTTAGTATTGCAGAAACATTTTGTGGAAAAAGGAAGAGTGGAAACAGACGGGGAAATAACAAATATTCACTTTGGTGGTGCGAAGAAGTAAAAGAAGCAATTAAAAAGAAAAAGGACTTATATAAACAGTGGATAAAATCAAAGAAAGAAGAAGATTATATAAACTTTAGACTGCAAAGGAGAGAAACCAACAGGAGTGTCAAGAAAGCAAAACAAGCATCCTGGGAGCGTTTCGGTAAGTCATTAGCAGAAAATGAGAAAACAGCCAGCAGAAAATTGTTCAAAGTAGTTAAAAATATGCGGAAAAGAGATGAGAGCTAAAACCACACTGAAATAATTAATGATAAGAAAGGAAGGCCACTGATAGATCCACCCGAGATAGCAGAAAGGTGAAGGGAATACTTCAATGAGCTCTTTAATCCTCTAGGAGATCATCAGGAAAGAACAACTGAAGAGCACAGAGCATGATGAAATAGAAAAATTCATTAGGCAGTCTTAAAATATAAAGCACCAGGAGCTGATAGATTACCAACAGAAATAATTCAAACAGCAGGTGAAAGCAGCATCATATGGCTTCACAGAATATTTAATGCAGCATGGGTACAACAAACGGCCCCTATTGATTTGCAACATGCAATAGTTATACCACTGTGGAAGAACAAAGGAAGCAAACGAGAATGCGGTCAATACCGAGGCATCTCTCTTTTAAGCCTTGTTGGCAAAATGTATGCCAAGATAATAGAAACAAGACTGAGACCAGTGATAGAACCACAGATGGCAGAAGAACAGATGGGATTTAGGAGAAATAGAAGCTGCACAGATGCAATCTTCGCACTTAAACAGTTAATAGAAAAGAACATTAAATACAATAAGAACTTATTTGTGGCATTTGTAGACCAGGAGAAGGCATTTGACAGAGTCGACAGACAATTATTATGGAAAGTAATGGCAAGATATGGAGTAAGCGAACACCTCATCGAAGTGTGCAAAAGTTTATACAGGGATTGTAGAAGTGTAGTTAGAATAAATCAGGGAACATCTCATCCATTCACAGCAACATCTGGAGTAAGACAGGGGTGTGTCTTATCACCACTGCTGTTTATCACCTACATCGACAGTATATGCAAGAATGCCAAGCCCATGAATGAAAATGTTAGTAAGATCAACGAATTACTCTTTGCAGATGACCAGGCCTTGGTAGCAGTCACAGCCATGAAATTGCAACAACATCTAACATCCATGAATGAAGAATGTAAAACAAATAATATGAGAATCAACACTGAAAAGATAAAAGTAATGTCAATAGGAAAAAAGAAGACAGATCTAAATATAGCAATAGAGTACAAAGGCATTAAACAGGCATCTAAGTTTAAATATTTGGGAACTACATTTACTGAAGATGGGAACTGGATAAAGAAATTAACATTAGATGCAGTAAAGCAAACCGAGTATTGGGACAGCTAGCTCCCCTCTTACAGCATAAGACAATCCCAATCAGCACAAAGAGACATCTTATTCAAAGCATATTTATTCCAACTCTGTGCTACCAGTGCCAGACATGGTCACTCACAACAAACATAAAAGAAAATTAGTAACCATGGAAATGAGATGTCTGAGAAGGGCTGTAGGAGTGAACATAAGAGATAAGATCAGGAATGAGATCATAAGAGAAAAAGTCGGCACAGAACCAATTCTAAATTACATATAAAGACAGCAAGTGAAATGGTTTGCCCACTTAGAGAGAATGACACCATACCATACAAAGCATACATGGAAAGAGAAGAAGGACGTAGAGCAAGAGGTAGACCAAAAACAACAATATGGAAGGATAACATCAGAGAAACTCTACAACAGCACGATGTGCCTATGGTCGAGGCGGCCAGAAGAGCTAGAAACAGAACCTTATATCTCCCTCGACACCCACAGCGGTAAAAGAGGAAGTGAAGAAGAAGAAGAAGAAAAAGTGGAATGGCTGTTTATACTGCTTTTTTGCGTCAGGAAAACTATTGTCTCATTAGGCGAAATTGCTAATGATATAAATGAAACAATTAATATATGACTAAAATGACCAGTGGAATAACTGCATATACTGATTTTTTTTTCTTAAGGAAATCTGTTGTTTCATTTAGCGATATTGCTAATGATATGAAAGAAATAACTAATATATAATTAGTGGAATGGCAACATATACTGCTTTTTATTTATTTTTTTTTTTTTTAATTTTACTACAGGAAAACCCTTATTTCATTTAGTGATATTCCCAATGAAATGAAGGAAGTAATTAATATATGACTAGTGGAATGGCTGCATATACTACTTTTTTTTTCTTTAGGAAAACTATTGTTTCATTTAGCGATATTCCTAATGAAATGAAGGAAGTAATTAATATATGACTAGTGGAATGGCTGCATATACTACTTTTTTTTTTCTTTAGGAAAACTATTGTTTCATTTAGCGATATTCCTAATGAAATGAAGGAAGCAATTAATATATGACTAGTGGAATGGCTGCATTTACTACTTTTTTTTTTCTTTAGGAAAACTATTGTTTGCATTTAGCGATATTCCTAATGAAATGAAGGAAGCAATATATGACTAGGAAAATGGATGCATGTATTGCTTTTTTTTTTTTTTTTAAAGTATAACGGGTATTGTATTCAGTGATATAACTAATAGTATGAACTGAAGATTCAATATATAAAAGTATAAAGGCATTTACATTACTTTGTTTTATTTCGTGAAATATTATTTGATTCTGTGAAGATCCGGTATACAATATATGAGATGAATAATAATGAACAAACTGCTCCGTTGCACTACGTCAACTGTTTATAAATTTTGTAGTCTATACAATGAAACTGGAGACGAAAAGAACAACTTTATGTGAAATTAAGAAAGGAAGCATCGGTTACACTATTTTATTATGCCAGCTGTTTTGTACGGTCATGTTTCACACCATATGAAACGTATCAATTAATAGAAGATACAAAATCAAGATATATGTTGTCCTAAGTTATTTTGCAAGCGTCTGTGGCTTAGGCATTCCGAACGCGCTTCGTAATGCCGGGGTGCCGGGTTTGATCCTCGCTACAAACGATTTGTCTCGCGTTGGTTTTGACAGCAGTACCCAGAGCTGACCTTTCAGTGAGCAATGGCAAACTACTGAACATAAAATTTGCCTAGAAAAACCACAAGAGCCAAAATAAAAAATGCTGGTGTTGGTTCTGCAACGTCCTGTAAAGGCTTCCAAGTAACTTAACACATGATAGGTGTCTTTTGAGTTGCTTCCACCTCGACTCTCAAACTTTTGTGTGTGATATCATATCCCGGGCTGTGTTGTAAGACATGTTCATTTGCTTTTTTATTTTTATTCAATTTACTTAAAGTTATTTATTGTATTGCGAACATTGTTGTGTAATGCTGTGAAACTGGTGATGATGTGGAATAACACCCTCAGCCAGCAGGTACTTTCTAGAACATTGTTTTCTTTACGGCAGGCTTGAACGTCTCTCTTTCTCAAGCCAATTCTCCAACCCTGTGTGTTTTCATACATACATATAGCCTCAATACACTTGAAGGCGTCAAGGCGTGACAAACTTTTTCAAAAAGATTACTTACTTCCATTACA